AATGTAGATTATTGAAAGAATGATAATTTTATTATAGATCTTATATTCAGATCTTATATTTTCAGATCTTATATTAGGTAATACAGGTATTATTATTTATTACACTTTATATATGAAGAGAAAAATACGCTTGTAAAATTTAGTTTAAAAAATTTATTTATATAATTTTTTATATATATGTATTATATATTCAAAAAGCGACATTGCCAGTAGCATTGCCAATAGCCTGTATCGACGTAACGCTATCATTTAAATTATATTAATTGTCTGGTCGCGAGCTTACTTTGAAGACACTTTTTCGTCAATTAGAAAACTTCAGCTCGCACAAACGGGAACAACAGCCGACGATGGAGTTCCGAAGAAGTTTCGTCGCCTCAAAAGCGCGTTGCGACAAATTCGTCCCGCGGCCGCGTTTTCGTATTTACTTCTTGTAGCGCTTTGTCCTCGCGTAATTACGTTCCGCGGGAGCTTAACGCCCGACAATTACTCGGTGGTCGTCGTTAATTTCCCTCGAAATAAAAGGTGACGACCACTATAGTGGCGATGTCACTGTGAAGCGCAATACCGGGTGGCAGCCGTGCGACGATACCAATCTTACGATTTTCACAGTGCACAAAGGCGGTCCCTTCTTAACGGGGCTACCGTAGGTAACAGCTCTCTGGAACAAGGAGGTTTGTCTATGTCGTGGCCCGTTAGCACAAATACCGACTCAACCCCGCGGCTGATTATTTTCCGGGCGCCCAAGTCGAAGTTAGCGAGCGTCGCGGAATTACCTGCTTTTATCGTAGGACAGTTCATCCACTCTTAAGCCAAATCTAATCTACCCGGGTACAGCCCGGAACGTCGAACTTGTGTACTTGGGCCGCAACTTCGCAAAATTGCTATAAAGTGCGAGCGCAAGCTTCCGTTCTCGCCCTTTGTGGCTAAACAGCCGTTTGTTCGTTTGTTTTGCGACAGTTTTAGCGCTCACTCGTAACTAGTGAAGTTGTTAGCCAAAGAATGAAAATCGATAATGAAAGACTTTAGTACAAATCTGAAATTGCGACCTATTTGTAATCTACAATGTTTTCCGCGAGAAAATGTACTGATTCGTCTTACGCTTTTATAATATGTAGATATATTTAACAATATTAGTATCTATTTAATTTTTATAATATGTTCTAATTATTTATTACAGACTTATACACATTAGATATCTTTTTTGCTTATCTTTTTGCTGATCTTTGATAATAAATATAAATTTAAAACTTGTTTTGCAAGTATTGAATTTATATTTATTGTTTAATTTTAAATTTTTATTTTTAATTTATGTTCAAAGAAATTCAATGTTAGTCAAATTGAAAGGTCTACGCATTTCATTAATTACATTTTTTATTTGCAACCATGTATTATAACATATCTAGAATAAAAAAGCAATTTGTAATCATATTTTTAATCGCTTAGCTTATCACTTTTCTGTGGCCGCGATGTGATCGTTTTCGGTTTATGTCTCCCAAATAACATCCATCGTGCACGCACACACGAGCATCGGACGTCAAACTTTAACAGGCACGTCCTGTGTGCTTATAGGACACGCAGCAGATGTATACGCTATGAATAGTTATACATCTGGCGTGTACGGAAAGAAGACAGAACACGCGAATGTGCTATGAGAGTAGTTTCACGTAGACGAAGCTGTCGTCTGTAGTGCACATCCCGGTAGTAACCCATCTTTACGACCAACGTTCATGGAAAGTGCGTCTTCCCTTTTCCCCGTTACGCCGCATCATCAACGCAGTTGCAATAAAGACGAGAGAAATCATCTTGAAAGCTATCCTAGGAGATTAAAAACTGCTTTTATAATTATAATTTAAATGCATCTCGTATGAATGTGTTCATATGAAAGGTATAGGTTGACTTGTAGAGAGTTGTACTATATATAACAAACTGCTAGGCTATTCGATAACACACACATTGCGAGTTATTTTTAAAAGATTTACGTGCTTCTACAATTATTATTAATAGTTATGAACTTATTTTATTCGAGAAAAGCGTTATCTATTTAAATATTTGACTCCTCTTGGTTATTCTTATTACATTATAAGTAACCCGAACAGAAATTAAATCGGGAATGTCTGATGCATGACTAATGCCTGATCGGAAAACAGTAGGACATGCCCTAATATGGAACTCCCGACCTGTGCCTGATCGACAGCAAAGCAGAGAGCGCGCTTTAAGAATTTTTTCAGGTAATCCTGAAAGTGGCCGGATTTCCTTGTTCCTATTGTTTTTATAAAAAGAGTATATTCTCTTGAGTTTGTAGAGAGGTTATATAATATTTCTTAAATTAGAACTATACATAATATTTCTATTACGGTACTATGACCTAATTTTTTGGTGAATTTCTTGTATTAAATATATAATATTTACCAGGAATAAAATAATTGAAGTATAATTTTTCCATTAATTAATTTAAGTGACAGGATGTCACATCCAATTATCCGTGAAAAATCCGACTGACCGTTTATTGTTCCGGTTCATGTAGCATATCGTGAAAGTATGACGTCTCATTCCGTAGTCGGTTTACGACTGTCGGCTGTCTCCGGAAATAAAACATATGAGAATGACATCTGGCTTGAGGAAATCGCCGGCGCTCGGCCGCGTTTTCCCGAATCCGCGAGAAATCACGACGGAGTTATTCCGACGACCGTAAAAAGATCGGCCAGGGAATGAGCGTCGTTTCGGAGGAATCGTCCGTTGAGGACATGCGAGACACGTAATCGCGAATATAACGCGTATCCGTATGCGAAGTGTATCATCCGGTCAGTGCGAGCATAAAAAAACAGCAACAAAATAAGCTTTTATAAAATATCGCTATCGTCATTGCGAGATCAAATTTTTCACGTATTGTGCGGAAAATTCCAAACGTGTACTATTATTGTCCTACTTTTTTTGAAAAATTTATTTGAAAATTGCCGATTAGATATCTTTGGAATATATTGTTCTTCATAATTATATATGTATATAATTGATGGTGTATAACACTGTTAGACATCAAAGGAGCAATAATGGTAACTCTTTGAGTTAAATAATATTTTATTTTTTATTTCCATGTATATTTAAATATAAATCAATCCATTTCTGTGATTAGTTTTAAAAGAATAATGTCAATATTAATATTTTTTTAGTTAAATTATTTAACTACATTGTTTTAGTTAAATTAACGACATATTGAGTAGCAGCAATGGTAGCGACCTATAGAAATGATGAAAATAACTCAAATTAGGTAATTTGACATGATAAATTTAATAGTAAAGACATAGTATCAATACGCCATGTCATATTTCACATCTTCTATTATTTCATATAAATTGAACGGAATATTCCTCTAAGAATGTAAAAGCATGAATACGTTCTGCAAACAGTACTTTAAATAATGCGATAAATGCATACGCATTACATTAAAGATAAGATTAAAAAATGTATTTTCGATAAATAAGTTTTAATATTAATAAATTTAAAAAACAAGTTTGTGGTATATGGTTATTGCCGTCTAATAATTGTCATTTACATTTTATGTAATTGTCAGCGATTTAAAGATAATTATGTAATCATAGTTCGCTTTCATGCCTTTGCAAGTGTTCATCGCTGATTCATCATATACAGTAATAATTAATAATGAATTTGTATGACCGGTATTTATATTTGTTTCTTATTTTAAACTTGTCTTAAGTAATGTCTTAAGATGCTTCTAATATGACTCTGATTGGTTTATAACATCTTAACAGATTGTACTTACGACGGTCTTAAATATAAGAATCGACTATGAATACCGACTTCAAACGTTTAAAAAGTAAAGTTTTCCATGTTCGTTTTACAATTCTTTTTTGTATTTTTAGAATTGCATTCTAAAACGTCTTACATGTGACATGTAACACGTTTTAGAATGCAATTGCTTCTGATTGCACTTCAATAACTTGATCGATATATAATTTTCCGCACGGAAAGCTTTATAACGACACGAAGTTTACGACGTCTATTCGTTCGAAACTACATATACAATTCTATTTGGATAATTGAAACTCTTGTTCGGATCGAGGTCGCCCGTTAAACCGGGCGTTGACCTTAACCGATTTCTTGCACGATTATGCTAATTGAGCAAGATTATATTTAATGTTGGTTGCTTACAGCATACCATTAATTTGCTAAGCTCATTTTGCAATGCGTCAAGTTTTAAAACCAATTTAATGTATTGCTAAAATTGTTATTTAATTGACAAAACAGTAGCAGGTTTATAGCATATATGATTTACACGCGTTGAATGTACAAAGAATTTATTGAATTTTGACGTGCGATCTATACTTGTTCTATACCTACTCTAAAAAATGTCGGTCATTTTAACACCGATGGTGTGGAATTTGACACCAATATGGGTTTGACCAAAACATAATTAATTTTCGTACTAATAGTTTATTTAAAAACTTTTTTCTTTGATGTTTAATAACTTTGTCTAATGTAAAATCTTTTTTTCTTTGAAAGCTTTTCATTTTTTGTTCTTTAAAGCTTTTTAATTATATTGACAAATGATACTTTCTAAATTCTTTGGAATTGAATCACTCTAAAGAATGAAAATATTAAAAACAGTTTTGAAAAGGAATGGCTCAATTTTAAGTTTTTAAGAATAAGATTTCACTCCTCAGAGTGATAATTCATTTTTAGAGAGTATGTGTGTGATTGTATAATCAATTTGAACAGACTAGCAGAATTAACTATTATAATGAGGAATTGTTTGACAAACAGAAGACGGATTTTTCTTATTTTGTCAACAATGATGCGCGTTTCCTCTACCGATCTTTTTGTTCAGGAACCAATGTACTCGTGACCTTATGACTGTGGTTAACACAGGAGTCCCTGGTATTGCGAAATCGGTACAGCTGACGTGTTTACCCCCTCGTCGTGCTCGTCGTATAGCTCGCCGATTGGCCGCGTTAGCGATCACAGTTTCACTCGCGCGCTGCTCGTTCAGTTGTATTGAGCATCATTCTCGCGACGCACCTCTTATCACCGGTTTGCAATCGGCTACACGTACGTGTACGTGTGCCTATATGTGCGTGCGTGGGCGGTTACGTACACGCGTGCTTGTGTACATTTAGTCAGGTGCATTATTGTGTTCGCTAGTCAAATCACGGATATTCACGAAGTTCTTGTCGCTCAGTCATTATTCGAGACGTGTACGTAGCATGGAGAAATGTCGAAGGAAGTTGAAATAGGTATGTTCGTACGATAAATTTTTGCGAATTTTCGTTCCATCAAATATTTGCTACTGACACTACACTTGACCTAAAAAAAGGAAATTGGTTCCGCGATTTGTCCGTGTCGCACGGATTTCGTAATCTTTACTTACCGATTTTATTGAAACTAAAATTATTATTTGAGATGACTTCTGAGGAATGCTGTTAAATAAAACGTGAAATAGTGTGAAAGTTATGCGCGTTATGCATCTGATAAGTTTATCATGGAAGTTTACTGTGCTATAACAGTTTTAATTTTTAGTTTTTTATGTATATATGTGTGTGAAATTTGATACAAGGATCAGTCACCTTTTATTGAATTTAAAGTGTTTCGACATTCCAAATGTTTCATAAAAATTTTGTGGCATTCGTGATGTAACGTGTTGCTGAAGAATATATATCCCAAAAGCGGAACAAGTAACGATAACGTCAAAATGAGTCTTTATTAATTAAAAAGTGATTTTTATAGTAATCATTTTGGAGTCATTTTTTGACGCCACAGAATGGAAAACGTTCGACGACGAATGAAACTCTTCTTTTAAACAAACGTATGTGTATTTGATTTAACGAGAGACACAGGAATTTAGCTCACGTTGACGCTTAGATAATAGAAAGTGTTCGGCTATTATGCTTTAAGAGTATGATGGTAACATATTGCGGGTTCTCAAGGACTTGATAAAATAAACGCTACATATACGAGCGGCAAATTTGTCGGCTAATTAAGTGGTATTAGTATTTCAATATAAAATTGCCGCGACTCGAGAACGTGCTCTTGCGTATCTACTAGCCATCAGAAAATATTATTTTAAAATTATGCTTTAAAACGCGTCATTCACTCTTATATAGCGATACGTGTAAAGCATACTTCATTGTCATAATTGCTGTGAAATAACTGCCAAAAAATTTCTCGTATTCGTGTAAATTAAGGTATGACGTAGATGATAAATATATGTAATATAAAGACTCATTATTTCTAAAACTTATATATGTTTAAGTATTTTTATTTATTTTTTCCATAATTTTTAAGAGAATATTTGAGTATCTAAAAGAAAGTTTTTATATTCGTCAAATTGGTTAATTCATGGATGAAAGCAGTGTCAAGGCATTTACTAAATGAGTATGCAGCGTTAAGTGTCTATGCAACGGGTATGCACAATTATTCATTTTGAATACTTATTTGCGTAATAAATTCACGAGTTAGTTATAGCCTGCTTGAAATAAGGAAATCGTGCGTTGGAAAAAATGGAAACATAAAACTGCATTATATTTTGTTGTTTACATAAGATCTCATAAATTATTCATGCATTGGAAAAAAAGATTTATTATATTTATTCTTGAATATATTATAGGTAATAAATTCAACCAAAAAGATATATTAATAAATCAAATACTTATAATTAAATCTATTAAATATTCTAATCGAGATAACTAGAAATTCAATTACAATAACCAGAATTCTGATTTATATAATCAGAATTTGTTTTATTCATACTTTTTGTTGATACAATTAACCATTTTTTTTAGTGTGTTATTGCGTTAATGACATAAAACATTCTTAAGTCAACAAGATTCTTAGCTTAAGAATTTTTTGACGCAGTGTGCATACAGTAAATGAAAGCTAATCTTAAAACATGTAGCGTGCATACGATTATTTTTCAAACAGCTCGTATTTCCCATTTTATGGCGTGCGATTTATAATGGATTACATTGATCATATATAAAAATAGTTTTAAAACGGTTCTCCAACTTAGGAAAATACATTTTCAAATAATTTCTATTTTGCAACGATATTAATTTATTAGCATACGTCAATCAGATTTTAATTGAAGCAATAATGATGTCAACTTATTAGTATAGATCAATCAGATTTATTTTCAGTTGAAGTATACTTTCTAGAAGTATTCTTTGAAATTGTATTTTATCAATTTTTTATTATTTCAATTTCATATATCAATTTTATACTTGACGATTATTCATATATTATTGCTCACGCAATTATAAAAGATTTTTCTACACAGTTGGAAAAAATGTGTTGAATTTAACATAAATCGCATGTCCCAAATGGTCCACTCAAATTTTTGAGTTTACACAAGATGAATATATTAGAAGGTAACACAAATATTATGTAAGAGAATAAATATAAAGAAAGATAACATCGACACAGTTTGTAAACATACCGTGGGAACATATTTTTTTTCAGAAAATTAATATTTATGATATATTAAATTAACACATATTTCATTTATTTGTTTTAGAATTTACTTTTTAAACACATTATTATTTTTGTTACTTATTCATTTCCGCACAAATTGTGTCATTTTGACACTAAGAAACATTGAATATCAATTTCACAAAAAATCTTTAAATAATATAATCATATTATGTTAAATTAACACTCGAATAAATTAAAAAATTCAACACAAACTGTTAACACAAATGTGAGTGGATCGTTTCCAACATATATAAATACACAAATTTTTTTTACTGTGTAATTAGATTATTTTAATTCTACAATACTTTACATAATCGTAGCTTTTCTTTTTTAGCGATAAAAAATAATGTTTTAGTTTATTTAATATGTAATACTAAATGTAATTTTGTATTAATAAATAATAATTTAATAATTTATCATTACAAAAATATGTAATATGGAAGTGATAATACTGTTAATTGAATTAGAAAAAAATATTTTTGTTACATGTATATTATTTAAAAGCAGTGTTAATGAATAAAAGTAATGAATATAATATAAGTAATTAACACTTGCGGTCAATATTATAATCAACTTAATTTAAAACTTTTTAAGTAATTTTCAAGTAATTTAATAAACTTTGTAAATTAAAAATTATTTCAGCTATATTTTTTGAACTTTTACAGGCGAATAAAAAAAGAGAAATAATGACTAATTTAAAAAATAAACTTATAATGTTTTTATCGTTGCAATACAAGTATCATATGAATTTAGACTGATTATATTTTGTTTTGTTTTAACAAATGTTTTTGTTGGTTATAGATAAATGAAATAAGAAATATAGCCATCACAGAGGAGTGTGTGATTTCGATTACAGATTTCTCGACAAACCCGGAGAGCGAGCAGTTGTTATCTGCCGAGGCATGTGACAATACACCAAACACATGTGTGAGAGTTCAACCAGACGAGCGGTTGTCCATGAACGAGTTATGTATTCAAGGCGTTTCGACATCAAGACCATCGCTTCAGGACAAATCCATGGCATTAAATCTTAACACACATATGAGCGAAAGCTCGAGCTGTTCGACGACCATGGTAACGGTAACATCATCCTCGATTACCGCAAGTGGGAACGAGAGCAATGATGACCCGCCGCCTTATGCCGCGATTCCGCCACCTTACAGCATGATTACGCCATCAAATTATATCGGTTGGCCGTACGGACTTTTTTCATTCAGCGATTCGTATTCCACGGACGGGACGACTCATAGGATGGAAATACCGTTGACGCATCTCCAAACTCGTTTGACACCGACCATGGGTTTCCATCCCGAAGGGATTAACGGTCGATACGCGTTGTACCCAATGCCCTTAACGCCTTACCGGTTCTTCAAGTTTGATTGCCATAGGAACTCTTTGCGAAGTGAAACGGTGGACGCCGCGGACGACGAAATAACGGAGAAAATCGACGATAAAAAATCACGAAGTGAGCATCGGTGATTGAAATCTATGATCTTTGTGGCGTACATATTTTTAATTTTAAAATTACAGGATTTATTTTATTTTAATTATTTTAAAACAGGATTTCCTCGATTAGAAGTAAACATTATTAACAAGTGGTTTATAAAAATCGTTATTGAAAAAACTGATTAATTGTTATTTCGTCTAAACAGTCTATTACGGTACGAGTAAATTGGCATACAAGTATCAGTGATACTTATACGAATAATTGTGTTATATATAGTATATATATATATATATATGTATATATATTTTCTCTTATTTTTTAATTAAAGGAAAGTTGGCATCTCATTTTCTTAATTCGATGATTGGTGAATAATTGTGAATATTTAATTATATGATCATTACTTCAATAATAAACAAGATTTAAGACTATTTAATCAAGTAGATCTCATAATATCGGTTATTGTATTAAATGCAGTTATTATGACATATATCTAGAAAAATCTAAGATATAATTAATTTTTAACAGGATGTGGCGCTATTCTCGTGGCAACAGCGGTCATCATCTTTCTTATGGCCCTATCCTTGATAGTTCGCTTCGTCATGGAAAAGAGTTGGTGGCGAAGATAGATCATCGTTAGAATTGACCGTTATTTGGGAAACGTTCAGAGATATTCCAATTTACGAGGAATTATTAATTAATTTGTTATTAGACTTTATCTAACATAATTTATTTTAACAGGATATAGTTTCTGAGATATCATGTTGGTTATCCTGAAGGAATTTTCTATTTCTTTTTGTATACTTTTTTTATCTAAATCTATTATTAGCTTAAACAAAAAGGTACATAAAAACTTATTACAGCATTGGTTAATATTCTTTCCTATTTCTAGTTTTTTAATAAATTTCCTATGATTCTATTTTCTGAAATAAAACAATGTAACGACTTAACTATGTGTAAATTATGTTATTAGTTTTTACAATATATATTTTTTATACCTAGAGGCAATGTTAGTTTTTATAAATATTTATATGCATTGTAATTGTACTGGCAATATACATCTTCATATTAGTTAAGTGTTTATGTTTTTTTAGAAATCGCTCCAATTAAATTCATTCTCCGACAAAGAAAGAATTGATCAATCGCATCAATTGGCCGAATTATTCAAATGTGACTTATTAATTTTTTCTCCCCTTCCGAGATTCGAAGCGATTTCTAATATTGTGGACTTCGAAGCAAGTGGCATTGCGGATCAAGGCTTTAAAAAAGAAATCAGTAATGGCTATCATGATTCAGCATTATGTAAAATTAATTACTCTTTTCTTTTTATTCGATAATACAATTTATTAAGAAACATACAAATATATTATAAATGATAAAATTGAACTGAGTATCTTGTAACGTATATCATTATAGCGTAACATTTTATTCTATTATATTTATTCTGAATGAAAAAAGTGCATTATAATACTGATTATGCATTAGAAATGATTATTTTTTTAAGTTGAATTAAAAAATGCATGTAATTTTACATGGAAATTATATGTTTATGACTGAAAAATTACTTAAATTACATAAATATGATTGGAAATTTAATATACTGGAAATTGTAAATTTTCAATCATATTTAAATAATTTTTCGGTCATAGACATGTAATTTCCATGTAAAATTACATGCATTTTTTTCAGTGTGTGATATAATATAGCTGCAATAATAGTTATCTACTTTAAACTGAGGAGAGAATGGCTATCAAATTTTATAATCAATAATATTAAATATTCTTGTATATTTGTTATAACTTTTATTATATTATTAAATAATCATATTTTATACGTATTCTTATTAATTTATCAATTTCTTTATGTAATTTATAAATCTCTAACTAATTGAAATGACGTTGGCGACGTTGTACGAAGTTCATAATTATTTGTCAAGCCCGTTATCCACTTAACGTAGAAACTTCGACGCTTATTGGCCCGATGGGACACCAATGACGAAGTAGTGGAAGACCGGAAAGGAGTAGACAACAACGTGGTGGAAGGCAAGGTAACTGAACAATAAAGTTAAGAAAGGGAAGGGCAAATGGAGGCGCTCATCGTATACTGATTAAAAATACAGCCTCGTATCTCTTGAGAATAGACGATCAGAAAAGTCTGAATATCTTGGGAGATGTGAAAGTTTGTAGCTGAAGGTAAATTCTCTAGGTGAAAATGGATAAAACTATTAAGATTATAAGTAGACTTATAGTCTAGCTAAGTTCCGAATAATAGTCGTTTTAAAGGTACTCGAATACCTCAGTATATATATTTTTACGTTTGAAAAGTAAGATATACAGCTATGTTATTTTATATAAAAGCGTTGGACATATATCTTGCTAAAACCTTTATTAATTTAAGTATTTGCAATTCAAATTATGGTTGTTCTTCTTCTTCTTGTTCTGGCTAGTATTTAAATATGCAAGGGACTAATCTCTGTGTACGTTATGATGAAAAATTGCACGTGCATACAATTTTTATAACGCTTTGAGGTACGAGTTTCTTGTTGAGAATATATGATAATAAAAGGGCCTCATAAAATAAAAAGGTGAGGTCGATTTTCCTCGGCCAGTGGTTTGCGCAAAAGCCGAAGAGGATCAAAGATGATAGAAGCTTAATGTAGAAGGAGAAGCCTCAAGAACGAAAAGGAACGCAGGCTATAAAGCCAGACAAGTTAGCGACCAGGGCAGCGAGGAAAACGAAAGGTCGGAGGGCTGATGAAAAATACAAAAATTTTCTCCCTTGAAAGGGGATGGCGGTGGATTCATGCTAGGAAAACGACGCCAGGACACTCGAGGCCAGAAGGCTCGCGAACGAGGGTAAGGTGTTTGTCAACGGTTGCCGGTAGTTAATTACTTTACATGAAAGGAACTTTCAGCCGTTTCGCCACTCGAGGCAACCTCGGTCCCCGCGTGCCGTCAACCCCTCCGCCTCCTCCCTTTCGCATCTCCTTCACAGACCTGAGTGCCTCCCCTTTCCACCCCTCTCGTCCCGAATCCCTCATCTTCCTGTCACCTGTAAGAGTTTACGAGTATCTAATCCAACAGACGGGCTGTACTTACTCTGTAAACGAGGCACCTCGCCTCTCTTGTAGCGACCTCGATAAAGAGAATGGAAGTATGCATAGGTCTCCATTCAAAAATATGTAGTACGTTACACTTCGTTTGATCTTGATTGCTATTGAAATAATCAGAGTAGCGAACCGATACACGACTTTTAATTTAGTTCAAGAATGTTTTAAAAGCACATTCACTATTTTTTTACTTGTTAGATCGTGTTAATTAAATTTTTTGACATCTTTTGATGATGTGCAGTTATTGAAAAAAATACTTTTTGATCACATTCTATATACTTTCTCCTCTTTATTGAATATTTAAAGATATGTACACATACATGAAACTTTATTTTAAATTAAGGCTAAATATTTTTTATTAAATGTGTTCAATTAAATTACAACTCATGTTTATACAAAAACATATTTTATGCCAAATGCCATAATCCTCTGTATTTTTCGCCGAGTGTAGCTTGAATCATTCTGTAAAAGTCTTAATATCTTATGCGAAAAGCAAGATATGAAAAAATAATATACACATTTCTTTTTTGAGACGTAAGTTGAAATATCTTTGACCTTAAAAGAAAATGAAGGGACGAAATAAAAAATGAAAGAACGAAAGAGGCAAATTCTCGTATAAGCATTACCCTGATTGCACGCGCGAAACAACTCGCCTCATAAACTATTACTGCACTTTCTTCAAAACCATCTGTCGCATATCGTCTTTAACGTTTTACCCTCTTGGATTTATATAAGCTGGTTGAAAGATAGGAGTGCAAAATCCGCACGCAGACATCATATGATATATATGATAAGATTTACATGTACTGATTAATTGCAAATTACAGGATTTTATTTGTCTTATAAAATTCGTAATCTTCATATTTTTTATCAATTACAGTCATTAAGATGACAATTAAATTATCATTACTTTTCTTTTTTCTTTTTTTATTTTTTCACTTTTTTTTCATTAGTTTTTACATAAGTCATTTGATAAGCATTATGTACATAAAATAGCAGCTATACTGTCGCTTTACCATTTGCGTTTTTACTTTCTCATTTCCATGTTACATTCATATAAATTTTATTGGTACGTAATAAATTAAATTAAAACCGTAAACTACTTTTATATTGTGTACGTAATAATCGAAGTTGAAATTAAGTCACACTTCACAATAGATTTTTCTTTTTGTGATGATTGCATATTCGGTAAGTTTGAGAATGTACATCAATGTACAACGCACATTTCAAGTAAAGCATTTTCGCGGTTTCTTATTTGCGTTCTAGTAACAACACAGAAATAGTACAGCGCGTGGAAGCGCGATACATCATTCATACACAGCCCGAATCTCATATCGGTTTCTGATCCTCCGGCTATGACAGCTTTTGAAGGGTCACTTCCCTCCCGCGCTTCATCTCCCTTGGCCCTTAGCCAGTACCGTTGTGTTTATTGTTACGTCGCATTTATGCATGAACCCTCGCGATTCTATTGTCACGTACACATGACGAACTACGCTGGGCGGAAGGGAACGCTTCGTGCTTTCTGAGCGGAAGTCAGCGGTGGCGTGAATGGGAGGTGGGGTTATTGGACCAAAGCGGAAATCGATGACACGGCTCTGTCTTCTCGGGAGCGCGCGGTCCTCCCGCCGACTCTTGAAAACCAAATTACGCTTTTCTTGTGTTTTTAATTACACGCTCAATGCCCAAACGTTTCAGCGGATGATAATTCGCTCGCTTTTACTCGTTACTTGCGCTTTTAATCCTCCGAAACTGACGGTAAAATTTGTAACACGATTATTGATATTGGATCTGTAAGACTCACTTAATTGATGTTAATTGAAAGGCATTAATTAATTTCTAGGCACCAAAATGATATAACTTGTATAAAAAAGAATAAATAATTTATTTTAATAACAATATTTTAAATTTGCAGATGTAACATAAAGAATATAATTGAGTCGAAAAAATAGATGTAAAAATATCAGGTATAACATTCTGATATATAGTCGTTTAAATTTTTGTGACTAATTTAAAATTAGTCTCAAATCTTAAAAATTAATATAAAGTCATCATTAAAAATTTGCTGCCGATCAGAAGTTGGTCCAAAATCAATTCAGCTACAATTATACGCAATGTTATTATATATATATATATATATATATACTTACATTATGAATAAACCCACCGTCAGCTCTGGAGGGATATAATTGAGTTTATTAAACCCACATCAGTGGATTCTGAAGGATCTAATGCTATAAAACTCGTCCCTTATAATAGATTGTCATATGAATAGAAATATATAGGAAAAAATTAAGAGGATAAATCATTCTTATTTATTATATTAAATACTTTTATATTACAATAGAATTAACAGGAATTATTAAGGCTTTGTATGAAATTTTATGAAGTTCTTAAACAGGGATAAGTAATCAGAAATTATATCTAATCGATCAAATTGCGAGTCAGCAATATTTGATCGGCCGGAATAACTGGGGAAGTGGCATCGACCAATATCTATATTACATTTCAAGGCCATAATCTTCTGGTAGAGAACGAACCAAAAGGGTGCAAGGTCGGAAACGCGAGTGTTCGTGGGGTGGCTA